ACACTATGAACAAAGAAGAGCAGCGCAAACCGGGTTTGTAGGGCCTCGACTCGTCATGATAGAATCCACGCCGAGAAAAGAAGAGCTTTGTTTTCGAAGGATCCCGAATGGAAGAAGCAAGAACCCGTTGGACATTTTATTCTTGGATTCTCAAGCTATATTGAGTGAATAGAAATCAAAGCAGATGTTACTACCCGCCAGGTACCTATTCAAATTGATGTAGCAAGTGTTGACGTCAGTTCTCCGTTTCTCCCATCCTCCAGCAAAGGACGGAAAGCGTCAGGAAGGCGTGCCAGAGCTGAGGTCTCTTCTTGTTATCGATCCGTGTACTTTAGGGAGGTCCCGAATAGCAGCGATGTACTTCACATTTATCAGTAGCAATGTGATTAAGAGCGAAAAGCAACACCTACTGGACCGTAATTATCACAAAATTGACATCCAAGTAGATCGTAATCAGGGATCACTTGCCCGACGTGAGAGCGTGAGGTTGCATTGGAATTTTGCGACCACATGAACTTCCGTCCCCAATCTGTCATTGGGTACACCGAGTATGAGAAGTTCAATCTGCCAAAAAGTGGGGTAGACATAAACGCTCACATCTTTTTCGGATCTCGCGATCTGGACGGCATCCACCGTTTTACGTTCTTTCGGGTTGCTTTTTTTGTTGAGGTCAAATTAGTTATGTTCGCCTTCGTGTTCGGACTTCGCGGAGCACGATTTGAGTCGACAGTGGAGAGAAACTGACTGACGAAGAGGAACGAGCCACATATGAATGGTGATGATGAAGTTGAGGTCCAAGTGGGCGTAAGCTCAGGCTGTAGTCTGAAAATGGACCGTAATGCAGGCCGTCTTAGAGCCGAACTTTCTTGCTTTCGCACACTCGACCAACGAACCACGGCAGGTACTGGGAGTCAAGCGTACGTGAACAAGGTTTCGGTATCAATACCGTGACGCTGCGTGCAAACGTATGAGGGAGGGAATGTCGGGGAAGTCAAGTTTGGGGTACTAAATTTTTCTTTAGCGACGGGAGAAAGAGAGAACGAAAAGATGCTCTAAATCCTGACAGTGAATCTCTCCCCTCGCCCTCATCAAACCCACAGTCGACATTCTCCATATTCTCAACGATATAGTGAGCCCCACAACCTTCGATTTTTGCCCTTTCATGCGACGTACACATTGCAATCACTGTAGCTCCAGAGGCAACACCAGCCCGAATTCCGGAAGGAGTCTTCGAGAACCACGCAACTACCGAAAGAACAATCAGATTGAAAGTGGGTATGTTGAAGGGCCTGACGCACCGTTCCGTTTCGAAGCCAAGACATTTAGCAGCCAACAGGAAAGAATCTGGGGCAGGCTTCCCCGCTTTTAACCTCTTGTCGTCAGCAGTAATGGTGACAGGTGGTGTTATGCCGACACGACTCATATAACCGTATGCTGTTCGAGATGAAGGGTTACCGACCGGTGATGGTCATTTCGTCAAAAAAACGTACCATAAATTTTCGCACCACTGGTGGCAACCGCATCACTTCCCTCTGGTATGCTCTCAATCATCTTCTTCACACCCGGAAGGATCTTGACAGATCTGTCAGTCGCACGTGCCTCGATTTGCCAGGCTTCCAGCTTGTACCGACAAATTTCTTCCTCGGTGACCAGAGCGTCATCTTTAATGGCCTAATACCAAGATGTGTTAGCGTATAGCCACTTGAAATAGAATATTTGTCAAGGGAAACGTACACAGTTATTTCCTTTGCCCTCCCTCCACCGTTCTGCACGACTCGCTTTGCGTCATTCCTACGATATCATCCTGGTCATCGTTAATCGCGCTATCCTCAGTACCAACCACACTAATTCTATTCCTGCTCAACATCGAACGAAGCTGCGCAACAAACGAAGGCTTTTCGTTCGATACGCTCATGGAAGAGGCACGAGACGAAGGTGCAGAAGTCGGTGTCAACGCTGGCGTCGAGGAATCGGGTGTAGTAGCAGATGAAATGGGTTGGGCAATGACGTTAGCCGTGCTGAACGAGTTACTACGCGAACCCGGCCCATGCTTATTATACGCGTCGGCGAAGAAGAGAATACTCTCTTCAAACCTTCGGACTTCACCGTTCATCTCTTCCGTATTGGCACGAGCGAGGTTGGGTCTGAATTGGCGGAGGTTGTCGATTGCGCGTTTTCCTGGAGAAGAGGTGTTAAGCAAGTTTGAGTTAGGCGAGATCAAGTTGAGAAATCTGACCATGGGTAGCGGCGACGACGTATTCGGGGACTTCACCTAAATCCTTCGCGACTTTGCTCCATGCAGCTTCAACGGCAGAGATAGAATCGGTTAGGGTACCGTCCATGTCGAAGAGCACGGCGTCGGCGTAGAATACGTGGGCATTGGAGTGTACTTGTGTGGGACTGTAACGATGTGGATGGATGGTAGTAATGTAGTGGTGGTAGCGATGAAAGTTGATAAAGGATTATCCAAAGGCAAAACCGCAGTTCTGTGCTGTCACGCCCGATTATGCAAGAGATTTTTGTGCCTTCAAAGTGCAGATGATTTCGATCCTTCTGAGAATCACATCGTAATCTTCTTTTTTTGACAACGGCTGATTATTTGCATGGCCATTCCTAGATCAGCCTCGAATACGATGTAAAACGATGAGAAATGGAGGGATGCAAACCAGAAAACGCTCAAACACTCTCGTATGCATTCAATTTCAAGAACTGAACATTGAGCTCGATAACTGGGGGGAGAGATTTCTATGAGTAGTATGCTTGGAATCAAGATGAATACCTATACCGGAGAGATTGAACAACTTTGATGAAGCGTATTGGTAATGGGAGTTGTCTAGAAAGCTTGCTAGATGGCTTCGGACATCGTCAGAAGCGAACTCGTGGGAACCGGTGCGTCGCCTAAAATCATTTCACGACACCCAGCTGTACACGCTCCATCCTAGCTCGGAATAATTACCCCCCTCTGCATTCCTCTATGCTCTCTCACATCACCTCTCAGATCTCGGTGATAGTCGATAGAGCTTCAACGTCCCTTTTCTCGAACTCTACGACTTGTCACTGGCAGCCTTGAAAAGTTCGCTTAGAGGTGAGCCATTCCTTCTATACCAGATTCAATTAGGCTCATACACTAACAATCTTTCAGCAGGAAATTTAAGCCTCGTTTAGTGGCGTCGACGATACTACCACCTCGTGATCGTAGATGCGATTATGATGTCTCCCATCTTCATCTCCGCTTTACCTGCCTTTCGGGAGAATCAAGTTTGCTGCGGTTTAAGAAGTTTTGACTGCGGTCTATAGGTCACAGTTAGCTCTTTTTTCACTTGTTTGTATCAGGAGCCGCAGCTGAATAGATTTCGAAGAGCCTTCCATCCGCCTCATGGCTAAACCTCAAGGCCTCAAGATTACAATTAAAAAACGATAACGACTCGCAGCATCCCCCCCTCATTCAATCCACTGCCATTCTCTAGTCTTCATTCGAAACCCATGCAAGCTCAAGCCGAACGAGAAAAACGAGCCAGAGCCGCTACTGAGCGCCTTCGACAGACACAGACATCTACCCCCTCAAATGTCCCTTCAAAGTCGACTTACGAAGACCACGACCTGGGTCTTTGGGACCGCCTCCAGATCCGCAAAAATCTCAACACTATCTTAGAAAAACACGGAGTGCGCACGCTCAAGGTACATCTTTCGTTATCCCAATCATATCCCGATCATCTACTATACACCGGTTGCTGGTCTTGGCCTCTCATACTAGACACTCCTCTCAATCGCCAAGAACATCCTCGAAAATGACTTGGAAGACCAAGAGAGCAAGTACAAACGACTAGGAATGGAGTCGAATGCTGTGAAGAAGAAGATTGTTGAGCCTGCTGGTGTGAAGGAGGTGGTTATTGACGTGAGTCCGTCCGAGTCGTCGCTTTTTACGTTTTTACGCAACTGAGTCGAATATCAGATGGGATTCCGAAAGATGGTACGCTAAAGTCACTTCTACTACAAAGTCCCATCTACCACTCACGCTTCAATAATTGAAGGAAATCATCGACCATCAAGAACACCGTTTCTGGCTACTCAAGTACCACGACCGTCTTCGTTTGTACGAAGAGCTGCTGAACGAGGCTATCGTCGACGCGCCGATTAATGAAGCTAGGAGAGATGAAGATTTGAGAATCAGGAGGGAAAGAGAGGAGAAAGAGGATTCGAGGGTGAAAGTGAGCCTACTTCAAGCTGCAATCGCATCGTCGTTCTTCCTTTTGCTCAACGATTTCCTCCTCTTTTTTCCTCTTATTTGGTAGGAACGTCAACGATTCAGAGACGACAGAGCTCGTGTCCGTGAACGATGTGAACGTGAGAAGCAGGCTCGGATTGGAAGGAATTCTCCGCAAACGGAGAGTGGGGCGTTGGTACGTCGCGTACTTTTTACTGTTGAGCTATAGAGGAACTCACCTATTTCAGGTACCGTCCAATGAGAGATCGGGAAGAATCCATACGCTGAGCGACATTTCTGCAAAGGAAGCTGGATCTACGACCGAGGATGGAGATAGGGTGCCTACGCCTCATGCCCCAGGGAGTGCTGTTTAGGCCTGAGGTACAGGTGTGGTGCGTTGACGTACTTTGAGCGGGAATTTGATAGTACGAAGAGAAGTCAAGCTGTTATATTACTTGACGTTTGTAACGTGTACACTGAGTAGCATCAACATCGGCTTTTGAGGGCTTAACGGACCCCACTGATTGCTCAATTTTTTTTTCGAGAACCCCGTGCACCGCGGGTGGTGATGAGTTGAAAAAAGCTTGCTCGTACAATTTTCGAGTCGACACAAGGAATCTATTATCTCAACTTTAAATGCTGCTGACTCCCGTCAAAAACAGAGAACGGAATAGCACAAAAAAGTTCAAAACGGGGATCCTACCAAAGTACCATTGACTAGACCAATTGAAAAGGATAGAGGCGGAGAAGGAGAAGGAGCGCAATAAAAGCAAAAAAGACCTTCCAATAGACTTAGTGGACACACTGGGAATTGAACCCAGCACCCCCCGCAGAGAAGCTCCTTTTAAATTCAATCGATGCTAAGCGGATGTGATAACCAACTACACCATGTGCCCTGGATTGAGATTGGTGTAAAAGGAGGTTGTCAACCTTTTTGCCCTCGATCATTCAATCCACCGTCCAAATTCATCTGTCGCCTCTCCATTCATCTCTCAAACAAAATCCAAGTGCAATCTCCCCGTTCCTCGCCTTGGGCATCATAAATCCTAAACTCTCCAATGACATACATATATATCGATTCAAGACCGAAATCGAGTTCATAGCATTTCCACTTTGTCTATGAACTGATCATCGAGTCGGAACGCTGATAGCTAGAGGCCAGTTGCTGAATCGGAGATGTGCGATAGGCTATAGATTCCAGGATATGTTGGAGGGATACATAGAGAGCACGAGCGAGCGTTACTCGGTGATCCGATGAGTGCGATCGGAGGCATCGACCGGACGTGGGAGATAATTACATGAAGACTCCTATGAACCACTCATTTTTTTTTCAACGTCGTGGTCGTCGCTACAGGGATCCTCAACAAGAGTTTGCTCTGCATATGATCTTCCTAATCACAACGTCTGGCACCCGGACAGCTTCATCGCCCAAGACGTTGGTGCAGGGATTGTTCGATCTCGAGAGAGGGAGATCGGTACTACTTCTCCTGTCGACGACTCCACCCCCTCCCCCCAACTAGGCCCCTCTCAACAGCTTCCCTGCACTCGACGAGCTGACCATTTTCTCTCTCGTCTGGGATCGAGTGGGTCCCCAGGCATGAGTTCGCAATCCGACCGCTGAGCTTTGGTCCTCCCTTTCATTCGATCAGGCGCAAATCTCCGAGTCTGGCCCCCACTCGTTTTCGCTGGGCGGCTTTTTCTGAGCCAAGTGAGAACTTTTCAGACACATGTACAGGAGCGAGCCCCTTCTCAAATCAATTCACGGAGTAGCTCCTGTGTTTTTGCCCCTTTGGCTGCACGTATAAGAACAGAAGCACATTCAACCTCCTTCTCGACGGCGTCAATCGTTTTTCAACGCGCAGGACTTTGTCTCACCGTCTACGTCCTTCTTTTTGTCACCTCCTCATTAACTTTGCCGAGAATGGGCACCTTTGACGAACCTATCGGGTGAATAAGTTTTCTCCCTATGGACCTTTTCTTCCACAACTCAATCTCTCATGTCTAGCTCCCTCCTCATCGGTTCATGGATATCGTCGCTGCTCGAGGTGCTAATCATCAAGGGCACCATCCAATACTTCATCAACTATCCGAATGACCCCTTATGGAAAAAGGCCTTGATTGGGGTCACATTCGTCGTAGACTTTGTCTCACTAATCGCGGCGTACGCTACTGTTTATTTGGTGTGTTTCGGGTGTAAATTCTGCGTGTCCATCATCTCTGACTATGGTCCTCGGTGCAGGCCACTGTAACCTTCTGGGGAAACACACTCGCTATCATAAATCAGGTACGTGAGAAAGTTTGGGAAATACTATTATCGCTTACATTTCTGTTAACTCGATCGTTAGCCCTGGACCATCCCCCTTGCCGTGATGTCTACAGGAACCGTCGCTTTCCTCGTGCAATGCTTTTTGATTCATCGAATCTGGGTACTGTTGGTGTCCTCTTTTTTCTAATTGACTTTTTGTCGCTCACCCCATTCAAGTTCCAGAGCAAAGAATTGGGTCTTTGTGATCTTGTTGTCCATGAATGCCCTTGTGGCGGTGCGTGAAGCAGTTTTTTCATCCATCCGCGTCGCTAAAGTCTGAACCCTCAACAGTTCGGCTGCGTATTGGCTTCAGCCTCTGTTATTATCAAGTACCCACGATACGATCAGCGTCATCGTGGTATCATTCCAATCACTCTCTGGCTGTCAACTACTACCGCCGTGGATATTGGTATCACGGCAGTCCTTATTTTCTGGTTTGCTAGGATGAAAACGTCCTTTAAGCATACTGAAAAGTACGTACTTGATCGCAAGCTCAACTTTTTTTCTCCGTTCTGATTCCAAACCTAACCATCAAATCTACCTTTAGCGCTATCCAAAAATTGATTCGAGTTTCACTTCAGACCGGAAGTACGACTTGTGCGGTTGCTATCGCCACAATGATTACCTTTATCATTAACCCTGCGAGTAACGGTGAGTTTCTGATATCTTCCCCGACGGACCCAAGCAGCTCATCGCCGTTTTTTCTTCTTTTAACACAGTCGAGGGCCTGCTGACGTTCGTTCTATGTCGAGTTTACGTCCTGACGTTGCTTTACAATGTCAATATCCGCTCCACATCGAGCCATGGAAACGATGTACAAGACTCTGAGCGATACACTGCGAACATTGTCCCTAGTGCAGTCGTTCTCAGCGAGATCCGTGAGTCCCTTTTTATTCGTATAAGTAACTGGCCAAAATAAGCTCAACGTTATCCAACAGAGGTGCATCGTACGGCCCATGTGCATATAGACGAAGATTCTCCAGATATTAAAACTACCGTTATGGTATGTGTTTCTACATTTTCGTTTTCTTTTTTTTTGTTTTGATCCATCTGACATCCATGTGATCCCCTTCAGCTCAACAATAGCCCCAGTAAGACTGGGGTCGACGTGTATTCGGATCGAGATTCTGTCAGCAAGGTTTGATGAATTAGCTTGGTGTAATCTGTGCTTTTTGATATTATTTATGTGGGACTGTTGTGATCGATGCTTTATCTCAATCTTTTTTGTTAATGGACAGTCGAAGCAATAAAGACAGCTGGATTTGAATTTGTCATTTTGGATTATGACGATATCTGGACGGCGGAGGATGATTAGTGCTCGCACACGATCCTGGGATTTTAAGGACCCGCGCAAGTACAATTTAGAGGTATGATGAGTGCGAGCTTTTCTTTTACAACTGCGCTCGATCATTCAGTCCACCGTCCGTACTTCCCAAATTCCCCATCTGCCTTGAGCCTTTCCATATCTTCATCTCTCAAACAAATCCCCAGTGCAATCTCCCCATTCCTCGCCTTTGGCATCAAAAAACCTAAACTCTCCAGCGACATACATCGCGGTTTCATCACCGACTCTGGTTTTCCCAATCCAAGACCGAAATCGAGTTCATAGCAGTTCAACTTTGTCCATGAACTGATCATCAAGTCGATCGCAAAATTGAGCGATGCCGCGAAGGAAATGACCGTGTCGGGCGGAGCGCGGTCAAAAGCGGTCGTCATGGCACAGAAATGGGACGTCATATCGTTGGCCTGGTTCAAAGTTGAGCGGAGCTGTGATGCGACGATGCCTAGAGGCTCTTCGATCAGTTTCTGAATTGGAGATGTGTGATAGGCTATGGATGACATTTGTCCGGGATATGTTGGAGGGATACGTAGGAATTTCCGCATGTTCACGGCACGAGCGAGCGTTGCTTCTTGTGTGGACTTGGAGTCGTTCAAACGAGGTAAGCGGGCACGCATGACGGATTGCCAGATGAAAGCGCTCAAGGCGTCGTCGGTGGATATGTAGCCGGAATGGAGGGTTTGAGTGGCGAGCGATTTTAAGCTGGCAAGCGAGGTGGGAGAGAAAGAGATGTAACTCCAGGTTAATTTTGGTGGTATAGATGGGTCGCTGTTAGTGGGAACGGAAGGGAGTTTCTTAATCTGACGGGCCAGCTCGGGACCCGGTGTGTACGAGTCGTCAAGCAAAGGAACGAGAGTTCTGCGTTCGAGATTGCCAGATGATAGTTCTTCACTTGTAAATGGCTCGTTCCGGCAAGCTCTCGACAAAAGGTCGATCAGCTGGCCTTGCCCAGTCATATCCATGGTGTTATGCTGGCCTACAACAGTGAGTACGAGTCCTCCGGTGATGAAATTGACTTGTAAGGCGAAAACTGGCCATTCCGACCTTTTTTCCTCCGTAGTCGGAATGGTGTACCGTGGAGCGACAATGGACTCGTCCAGCATACGAAAAGGAAAATTGGCTCTCCTGAGAACATCCATCGACGGGATTGAAGGATCGTCTCTCAGATTTCTCACGACCAGTGGAGGAGTTTGCCAAAACGCCCTGATCTTGAGGGTCTCTGGGGGGCCTTCAACATCCGAAAGTTCAGCAGCGACCTGTCCTGCTACCCAAGGAAAACTAGTAGTGAGTCTCTCAAGACCGTTTTTTAGCGTTTCGATGATGGTCGTATGTGAAGAAGATTCGGGAAGTGGAAAGCAAAAGCAGATTTGAGTGTAGGTCTTGAGTCCTGGAAGTTGCCCGAGGATGTCCAACGAGACGTCCAAGTTTGCAGAAGCTGCTTCAAGCATGGCGAACGATTACCGACGTTAGTAGGTATCACTGTCAAATTTGCTGTTCTTAAGATAAAAATCCAAGTCGAAGTTTGATGAGTTCCCAGCAGGGCCGGACAGCTCCATCTGTTCGAAAGTTCGACCCCACAGGGCTGCAAGTGCTAAGAGCTGACTCGTACCGTGCTCACTTTCCTTTTTTGTTTTTTTTTTTTTTTCTTTTTTTTCTGAGGACCGTTTGGAGTAGTCTTCGGGCCCCGACTGCGCACTAGCGTGGGCAGGGTTCAACTTTAATTTTGCCGCGAATTTGCCAAAGAATCATTTTAACCGGTTATAACGTTTTTGTAATAACTGGTTATAATCGGCTATTTTGTGGCAAAAACTTCCTTAAAACTTCCCTTAAATGTGAAAAAATCGCTTAAAGCCGCTTAAAAGGTTGTCAAAAGGCCGGGTAAATTTGCGACATTTTGCATACGATTTGCTCCGGTCCGCCGGCATGTAGACTGGGTCTCCTGTCAGGCCTCAGTTCGAAAATTTAGCATCTTGCCACAATTGTCTGGTTCCTTGAGACAATATTGACTGGAAAGCCGATGTAAACATGATTCTGACATTGTCAGGATCATCATTTACTGTCCATCATTTCAGTGATACACATTACAGTTATTACACCAAGGTTGAATTTTTTTCTCACTATTCTAAAAGTAAGTAACCTACTTGGTAGTTTTCAAATGGACTTATGTTGTAGAAACCAGGCACCCATGGGAATCACAAGCTACCGAAGATAATTTCGAGTAGGACGAGACGGGACAGGTTGAAATGGATCTT